TGTTATGATTATTTCATTTCATAATACTTATTACTTATCCGTAACAATTATCAAAAGTGAAGTTATTTTGATTTAAAAAATCACTTTAATCCCTTATAAGATGTTAATTAATTTATTTCTGAGTCCACCTGACGATTTTCTCTATAAGTTGTGTCCTACGTTCGGAGTGCGTTTAGAAACATACAATTTCACATACCTACTATTACCTACAACCTACAACACGCAGCCGGTTGCCCAGCCACCGCACCAACCATGCAGTCGATGTGAATCGTGCATGAACTTCATCATTTTTTTTATTTGACCGTCAATATTAACTCGTCGAGTACCGGTTTTGCAGACACAATTATAGAACAATAGGTTGCGGTCACCGGTGACCGCTTGGTATTTGACAGTTTAACATATATTATTTATACGGTATTAGGTTTTTTTTATATTTTTTATACGTAATAGGTGTGTTTATTTTTAGCATAGAAGACCATGAAAGAGAAGACGTCATATAAATCCTAGTAGACGCACAAAATGTGAGCATCCTTCCCTTCGCAAGATTTTATGACGTGGTCTACCAAAATAAAATAAACAGTGCCAACCTGTTATTCAATTAGTCCTACGAACATGATGGAGCCTTTTGGACACTAGACGTAGGCACCTAATAGAAGTACCCGGACGGAAGTAGTTCCGTTTGAGTCATCACATACCACTATGTGTTATTGGACCCAAGTTGCGGCCACTCTTACTTTATCGGTTTATTTGATAGGTTTTATTAAAACAGATCTTAGAATAACGATACTGTTACACATGCTAATTTCAAGCAAGAAAGCATGCTTCAATTGAGCAGTTGTCCCTCAGCATGTGTGTCGGAACGCCACTTTACGCTTATCTACATGTAGAATAGAAAACTAAATTATATGGACTTGACGGAAATTTTGACCCTTGTCAGTGTCATCCCCATACATTTTGATTTCTACTCTCTCTGTAGACAAGCGCTAAAGTCAAAAGTGGCGTTTGGCTAAAGGCCCAGTTGCATGTTTTCGGATCGACAGGCGTTCGATTTTTTAACATTTTTGAGCATGCTCAATAGAACGCCTTTTGGCATACTATTTTGGAGCACCTTAAAACTCCTATCGTTTGTTGCCTTCCAAGATTTTTGAGATATTCATTAATAAAATTAAGAAAGTTCGATAGAAATCAAAAGAACAAATTATCTCGTCTTCACATACATGTTTTTAACAAATCTTATTTTGGGTTGAAAGGGTAGTCGTAAAAGTATCGTAGCGTAGGTACTTAGATGTGTTATGTACCTACTTAATGCAATTCTTAAGTACCTATTTTTGTTTTAAAATTGATATCGTCATTGATAAGTATTGTTATGATTAGCAAATCATTTCTTAAACAATAAAGAAATCAACACATAATAAATATTGCCTACTGACGTAGTTGCGTATCTACGCACGTACCTACCTATTATTTATTACTTATTATAACTTATCTATTTACGCTTTCATTCAAGTTTTGTTTGAAGTTCATTTGGACTATAAAAATATCTCTTAAGATCATGAACTCATTGGGGAAGTTATGATATTATGATGTTTTTTTCTATAGTACAACATGCATGATTTTTGCCATTCGATATATTAATGTAGGAATCGGTGTAGGTATACAATTTAATTTATGGTATAAAATAAGTAATGTATAATGTATATACCTATAAAAGGAATTCGTGTTAGTTACACTATTTATAAGTCAAGAACGGCTAAATCGATTTGGATGTAAATAAGCGGGGTAGTACTTTTTATCCAATACTATAATTTTTTACTTTCACGAATTTCGTAAATCACGCACGGGCCCGGGAAAAAACGGGATTACGCGTACGAAGTCGCGGGCAGAAGCTAGTTATGTATAAATAAGTACCCATACATTGAGAGCAAATTGTTTCAAAGCACATTTTATAACACAGCATTGTGAATTTTAACAAAACTATAATAATTGAAAATAATAAAACATTTAAGTAATATCTACTTGTAGTAATATAATACGGAAAAATTAACTACTAACAGCTAACGACCATTAATAATAATTAACAGTTCCCGAAAACCTCAAAAAACCGCCATTTTAAACCAGTTAACATTTCAGACACAATTCATCATCTATCAAATATCAACTTAGTTTATCATGCATACAAATTACAAACTCATTTTACAATGAAGGTAGGCTGAATGGCCAAACGGATCCCTTTAACAGTTTAACAATAAAAACGGACGTTCGCTCATTCTTTACCTACACTTAAGAGCAGAGAAGCAGATAAACGGAGCCACTGGCGTGTTTTCGTTTTCATTTCTTGATCAATATTGTGTGATACAAGTATTTTTTTTTATGGTAAACGAGCTGATACACATGGAACACCAGAGGCGTTGCAACTGAATTACCGGCCTTTTTGGGATTAGGAATTTGAGGATTGTTGGGGATTCAGGGATTGGCAAGAGGGAGGGGGTAATTGGGCCTCCGGTAACCTCACTTACACGACGAAACACAACGGATGCGTTATTTCACGTCGCTTTTTTGTGAGGCCGCCCATGATCGACGTGGTTTCACTTCGGTCGAGCCAGCCCATTCGTACCGAAGCATGGCTTTCCCCACACTTAAAGTTGGTAACTAATATGTTATGTCGTATAGAAGGTAATTTAGTTTGAATGCCTGCTAAATGCTAAGAAGTCGATGCCCCAAGTCCAAAACGAAATAACTATTACTTACCAATACTCATAATAGAAACACTTACCTAAGTTTTTAATTAGTTTTGTTTAGGAGATGGGGCACCGACTTCTTAACTTTCAGCAGGTGCTGTAGGTAGGACAAGGTACTGAGTACAATCAATTTTTTTTTTTAGTTATCGAGGGTTCAATAAAATAAAGAAAATAAACCGTTAGTGGCTCCTATTTTGGCTCTCAAGTGTACAAAGCACAAGGAATCACAAATTAGCTAACTACTTCCCCGATCAAATTCCATCCGTATAAGTATCAAGTAGGTTTGCCAAACAGATAATACTGTAAGGAAACCAGTGTAAATATAGAAATTACAGAGTCCATAATTCATTGGACACTGGACAGTTAACATGTATAAAATATCGTAACCACTTTATCATGTTGCTTCTAATTAATTAACAGCATTTAATTGGACCAATTAATTTTTATTTTCGTGTCATATTTATCGATAAAAATTGGCGTGTCGAAATTACTTCTCTAGCTAAGACAAAATTGGTAGGTATATAGGTCATAGGTATTATTGTGAATCTAGAGGGAATGTATTGATAGATTCTGTTACTTTTTCGCAAAAAATATTGCATTGATTTTAATAAACTATGACGGGCAGACAGACCATGAAATATATTCACACATACCTTTGAATTGTGAATTCGTGTGCGACGCAACTTAAAATGAGTTTATTTAATAACTTTTTAATCGATGATTTTGAAAGCTTGCACACACTTTTTTCTATTTTATTCTTACGTCCATATTATATCTATGTAAATATAATTAAGTATTTATTATTTATATTACATAAATAACAAGTTCCTGGAACTCACGTGCACCTTCAAACGTGACAAAACTGTGTATAAATACAATACAATACAAACACATCACAAAACGCGTCTCGCATCGCTAAACCACCAAAAATACACTCATAATATATATAAAACAAAACGTGCAAAATATTATCAGATTAATTAGCATATATAATGAGGTTTACCTTCACAACAAGCACCAATAAAGCCGATTATCATATAAATCAAAGGACTTTTAATCATTCACTGTGTTAGTGTATGTAAAAAAAAAGAGAAAAAAAAAACGTCGCGTGTATCGCCCTTTCAGTTTTTACTGAGTAACTGCTAATGAGTGCAGGAGCCTGGGTACATCATTTTGACTTCTTTATACCTTATAGATAATGAGGCGCAGAGGACAGAGGTCAGTGCAATCATAGACAGATACCGGGAGGCCAGTAAGACAAATATCCAATACATCTAATTACTAGTGATTTACTATGACTCTGCTCTTATCATTAATTTTGAATTTTGGTCTTACATTGCAATTTTGTTTCTAATTGGATAGTAAATAAATGTTGTATAATTAATAAACAAATGTTATATAAACTGCATAATTACTTCACAGTTTCCTCTGACTACATATTTATATTTTTTTAATAACTTTTATTTTGATTGTTACTGGTATTTTAATGATTTTTAATTAGGTACTAATGATTATAATTGTTTTAGTATAGTAGTATAACTCTCATAAGACACAAAAATGATTATGTTTAATAGAAACTTGAAAAAAGATGAAGAGCACAGCAAGGTATAAATAAAAAAAATACAATGACTTCCTGTGTTTTATCTTTGGATGGAAATTAAATTTCAATAATCAATAACAGTTATAAAATCAGAAATAACACGTGTAAATGACTCAGAAATAAGAGGCACACCTTAATAATTGATAAAATAAAAGTTTATAAAATAATCAACATACTGACAGCCGGTACTAATATATTATATAGATACTTATCACTATATTATTAACAACATAACTGTATGATATTATTTACTACATAATCAATATGTTGTACATATAAAATAAATAAATAAAATAAAACTTTATTCATAATAACAAAAATGCTAAATTTGAAAATATATCTAAATTACGTACAATTGACCTCAAATAGTTAGATGCCTGCACTAGGACAATCCTGTATCGCAGGCGAGAGGAGTTCTAAATATAATTTTTACAATAGCACATCTTATTTCTATAAACACAAATATTTATCAGTATGCAATAGAAAAATATATATATAATGATTATTTTAATATACATACATTCAAACATACTTACATACAAAACATAACCTCATACCCTATATTCTCAGAAAAGATAGGCTGAGGTCCATAACTAATCGTAATATAATATTATAATGTATCTAATAAATATACATACGTAAACAATATAATTATAAATCAGTTCGAAAATAAAACTATCACTATTGCCGAGGAATTAACATGCATCAGCAGAAACATATACTAGGCTAAAGTCCATACGGTCATTCACTTGGTTCTTAATTTCACAATAATAATTGTGCTTATTCAGCAACAGGGCGATGAATAATCATATGTTTGATATATAGGTAGTGTTGTGCAAGGAAATACTTCGGAAGTGTCATCAATTCGGTAATGTGACCTAGACTAGAGTATGACGCATTATGTGCCCTCGTAGTCAATCGAATTGATGTACCTGAGTTCTGCTATCTTCCTAGCAGGGCACTCAGGGTCTCCCGTTTTATGATCACTGGGCTTATTAAAGCGAGAGCAAGAGGCACATTTTGAAGCTTCTACTTTTTTCGTGCACGCAGATGTTACATGGCCCATTTCTCCGCAGTGTCCACATGACGAGAGGTCTCTGCATGTTTTAGCGGCATGGCCATACTGTTGGCATTTGTAGCACCTGGTAACTAATGTATAATCTCTCACAGGGCAAGAAGTCCAATTTATGTATATCCTTTCTTGAGTTATGAGGGCTTTGCGGATCTTAGCTGGAACCTGTATGATGAAATTGCAGTTCGCTGTATCTTTCTTCCCGGATTTATGGCTTAATTTGATGTTGCTTAAAAAGGCTTCCAGTGACATCTCCGGAAAATTTTCAGCGACATTTTGCTCATAGAGACACTTTAATACGTCAGTATCAGTCATAGAAGTGGGCACTCCTACTACCGTTATTCTTGGTTGGCGCTTGTTGGGCTCACCGGTAATAAGTCCAGTCGACGAAAGGTTAACTGCCTGCTTTACCTTCTCAACATCTTCCTTGGTCTCAGTGCTAATTATCACACCACCGTTTTGAATTTTCCTGACTCCACGCACATGTAGTTTCATTTGATCCGGGCGAATGATTTGCTGAACTAATGTTTTAGTTTCGTCACTAGATTTTAATTTGTTGACAGGGTAAATGGCGACAGAGCTTAGATTACTGGGTTTTATGTAATCATTTGACCCTTTTTTTACCATATCAGCAAAGGACACGTTTGTTGTTGCGGGAGAGGTCTTAATTGTTTCTTTTAATTCAATGATTTCTTCTGCTAGGTCTCGTTTTTCGTGAAGGTTGTCAATTATGTCGATTGCTTGGTTAGCCTTTTGCTTCAGAGACTGGTATAGGACTGCCATTTGAGAGACGCCAGATCCTATTTTGCGACTCAGGTTACTGATTCTTAGTTTCTGCTCCGAATTCAGTTTGCCTTCCGTGGCAATAATGCAGACCTCATTTAGTTGCTTCTCGATAGATGACATCCATTTTTGAAGTTCTGATGTGGAGATTACTTCAATGTAGAAGTCAGATTGATGACTTTTTACTTGTGAAGCACAGGCCCGGATATTGCTGGGGCTGTTATCCATGTTTAAATCAGTTTATGTTTCCATATTAGTACGTAAACTTCGCAGTAGGCAAAAATTTTAAAGGAGGTCACTATGTATACGTTAATACAATTTTGTTATTTATGCGCACGTCTGTTCACTGCCAGGGCAGCCGAATGAATCCTATGTATATGTACCCATGTCTGGCAATTGTTCATTAATATTATTTGCTCATGCAGAATCAGTACCTGGCACTTTAAGTTACAGACATTTTGTTTAATCATTTACTTAAGCAATATTGGTATTGGTTTTGTTCTTGAGTAAATACTTTAATAACTAAGTTGTAGAGGATGTATGTGCAATAAAAACTGTTGTTAAGTTAGAAACGAATGCTTTTTTATAGGTATTTGTACGGTTTGTTGATTTATAGACGATTTGGTAGATTTTTTAGGCTTAAGGTATGATTTACTATCAATTTTGTAATCCAGACTTTTATCTTGCTCAACACAGTTCACAGTCAACCAGCTCTCTGGTTGTGTCACGTCATATTAGATTAGGTCAATAAAATTATTATTGACTAAAATTAATTCTGAAATGGAACTTTATTGGTGCAAACACATAGATTATTTTTCAATTTGTTTTCTTTTTCTTTTTATGGACGGATCACCTGATGGTAAGCGAGCGCCGCCCATGGATACCTGCAAAACCAGAGGAGCCACAGGTGCGTTGCCAGCCTATTAAAAAGGAATACACTCATCTCTTGAAGGTTTGAAGTTAGACTAATAATAACATTTTTAGAGTTAAAAGTATTTATCAGTCTGTCAGTCAGTCCGCTAGTGAAGCTATTTCTCACAAGATATTTCTTTCGCATTTCATTACTATTATAGCATACAGCATAAGGATACTTCAATCTAAATAAAATGGCACACAAAAGCCACCCTTAAGGTGATACATACAAGCGGAATAGGCAATAAAACTTTTATTAGACCTGAATAGGATAACTTTCTAAGTGCATACACACTAGTCATCTTAGTTCAAAGACCACAGGAAATCTATACATAAAACTGAAGAGCTTGTTTATTTATTTGAATGCACTAATCTCTGGAACTACTGGTATACTAATAAAAGTCTAGCAGCGGGTGAAACTGTGTGAGAGTGGCTAGTATAAATTAATATATTATCTTGATTTATAGTTTATACAGTACTACTTCTTCTGCCCGCAACTTCGTACGTGCAATCCCGTTTTCTCCCATTCCCATAGGATTGTCAGGATTTTTTTCTGTCATAAGAACCTTGTTCTGACAATTACAAATACAACAAAAAAATAATTAGTGGAATCGGTCCTGCCATTCACATGTGATGCCGTGACCAAGGAAAAAAGGGATTCATTTTTATATATTATAAGAAGATAATACATGTTAGCTTCATCACTATTAGCTGGGACACATCCAGTTTATACAAAAGCTCCTCAATAATGTGTGTAATGTTTGTATAATACCTGACACAGTAAATTTTGTGGGGTGGATTGGGTACTGGCATAGTTTTTCAAACCTTATTCAGTTATATTATATTGATTGACTTTTTTAAATTATGTAAATTTACTATGATAATGTTATAATTATGAAATATTTGTTTAGAATTAGAACAAGGATATTGTAAATTTTTTCTCCATTTTATCCCTAATTTATTTCATTTGTAGATTAATATAGAATAGTAGGTAGTTATGTATGTTTTTTCCTTAGTAATAAATATTCACACTTCCCTGTGTTCAAAGTTATTTAGATAAAAAAAACTAAGAAAGTTATCAGTGCTTATAACTACCTCTTATTTATTTTCAATCTTAAGGCATATAGATTTGTAGTTTTAATTTCAAAACCTAATGAATAACATGTCAATCAATAATTTTTATATGTGAGTATAAAAAATATATATTTCTTTATTATTATGTAAGTAGGTAGCCTAAAGCACCCAGAAGTGGGTATAATAAGTTTTTAAAATTTATAAAAGTAATTTTACATTAATATAAAGTTATTGAATAGAGGGTTCAAATAAATTTTAGTAAAAATACCAGAAAAACTATTATTTCCCCTATTGCATCGGTTACGTACTTTGATGCAAAAAAGATATAAATATACACGTAGATTAAAATAATTCCCTAATGAGTTCTCAGAATATTTAAAATCGGCCACTTGGTACAATTTTATCCAAAAGTATTATCATTTCATTAGCGAATTTTATAACTTTTACAAACTTCACATATATGTAATGTATGTATTTATAATTTATGTATTAATAATGTTTTAATAAATATTGTACGTACCAATTAGATTCCTTATCGACGCCGGGATTTTGTTTGTATTTCAGAAAGTTCACAATCCAATCCACATTCGTCAACTTTGTTCGTCCAATTCAATAGAGACGTCCCAGACTGGACGTTTGAATAAATGAATGAATGATATCAAATCAACTTTTTATGTCATCAATTGAATCGATTTGATAAATTACTATA